ACACCAGGGTTACTAAGGTGTATAAACAATCGAGATATATTACACCAAAAAATGAAATCTGACCCTCTAAATACTATTTTTAAGATTACTTACATAAGATATACTTGCAATAACTTGCTAAAAAAACTGAAAAATTTCTATGAAAGATCAGAATTATTGAAAACCCAAGGTGATACCAGAAAACAATGGAAGAACATTAGACGTATTTGTAACTTACATGAGAAAAAGGAAAACTGCTTCAACCTTCTTCAAGTTAAATCAACTATTTTAGACTCGCTGAATTGTGCTAATGATTACTTTGCTACCACTGGAAATCGATTAGCCGAAAATATTTTTCAAAGAACTACAACTACTGAAAGCAAGCTTAGTAAAAGTATAATTTCTTCATATGCCTATCCTCATTCATGCGTACTTCTTCCCACTGATGAACATGAGATTATTCTTACACTTAAAACATTGAAAACCACTTCTTCAGCTGGCTGGGATGGCATTCCGTCACATTTCTTGAAAACATATTCATATATTTTTGCTACTCCAATTACGTATATTGTCAACCTATGTCTATCACAAGGCGTTTTTCCGGATACTCTTAAAAAATCAATCATCATACCTCTATACAAGAAAGGGGACAAAGACGACATATCAAACTATAGACCAATTTCTATTCTTCCATCGCTATCAAAAGTGTTAGAAAAGATTATTAACAAGGGACTCATAAATTATGTAATAGTATCTTTCTGGACTTGGCCAAGGCTTTTGATACAGTCTCTATCCCTATATTAATGAAAAAACTAGAAATTATTGGTATACGTGGCACACCTCTAAAACTATTTAGTGATTACATGTCAAATAGAAAACAAGTTCTAAAAATTGAAGGAATGTTTAGTTCTGAATCCAGCATCCAGTTTGGTGTGCCGCAGGGTAGTATCCTGGGATCTACGTTATTCTTGATCTATATAGATGGTTTATGTAGATTGGAGCTTAAAAACGGAAAAATACTCAGTTATGCAGACGATACGGTTCTCACCTTTAGTTCTAAGTCATGGTACACTACTTTTGAAATTGCGGAGGAAGGTCTTAACACTATTTGCAAGTGGCTGGATAATAATTTACTTACCTTAAACATTGATAAAACTCAGTATATTGCTTATGGAATAAGGTCTAACTCATTACCCAAACGAGACATATTTTTTTTATTCTATTATAATTTAAGGGACATTTACCGCTTAGGGTATGTCAGTCCCATCATACCCTAATATACATGACTTACTCATATGACATTACTTAATAACTACATGGGCCATGGATTCGAACAGAATTTTCGCATCGTCGCCATATGGTTGGGATAGAATATTATGGAATGTGCCTACGTCAGTTCTGTTCAAATTCAAGACCCTTATGAAATTACTTCTAATAGACTCAAATCGAACACATTCCATCAATATATGGTATAGGTCTTCTATAACTCCACAATGTTCACAATTGGGCGAAGTTGTTTTTCTCATTAGAAATACAAATTTCTTGCATGGAACGTGTCCAGATCTGAGTCTATGAGTAACTAATTTCCTACTTAATCTAGTGTTCATAAACCAAGGCACATGAAGAGGCTGACACTGTATGGTTTTGTACCATATTCCTTTTTCTAGTGACCGCTTGTTAAAGTATTCCTTCCACATTTCATAACAAATATTTTGAATTTAGGTAAAACTTCTGAGTGATCCAAAATAATATTAGTTTCCTTTCCATTCTTAGCTGCATCTTTCGCTAACATGTCAGCCTTTTCGTTGCCCCATAACCCAATATGCGATGGGACCCATTGCAATCTCAGTTGGACGCCTTTTGAAGTTATTTCATCTATCTTGGATATAATGTCATAAGCTATCGATGCACCTCTGTAAACAAAAGGCGCATCGAGCAATGTGTTGCAACGAGCTCTTGCTGTCTGTGCATATAACGACATTTTTATATTGGCTACTGATAACATGTGTCAAAGCTTCTGAGATTGCAATAAGTTCCAAAGCCATAATACTAGTATGAGTACTTATTTTAAAACAATGATTATTTTGATTTAGTATTATATCTATGTTAGGCACATAAAACGCAGACCCATATCCTTCTACACTCTTCGACCCATCCGTAAATATAAAACTCCAGCTATTAAGTCTTTTATACAACTCTTTGATAACTTCATACTTTAATAGGTTACTGTCGTATGAGCTTTTTGAATAGTGAATTGTTTCTAGCTTGGGTACAATTACTTCATTTAAGTTAATATTGGTCACCCATGTTCGCAAAGTAAACATTAATAACGGACATGATGTTGCTATCTGAATTTCTTTAACTTCATTATGTGAGGATACCAGTAAAGGAATGATTTTGTTGCTCCAATAATAATTTTGTCGAAGAGTGTAGAGTTCTTCTAATAGCTGAGTAGTTATATTATTTTCTGCTGACTTTAACTTTAGACATAATTTGTATGCTAGATATTTTCTCCGTAAGTACAGTGGAACTACACCAAGCTCACTCTCCATAACTTGAATTCGAGTGGTTTTAATAAATCCTCCTATTATCCTTAGTGCCTGATATTTAATTTTATTTAGTTTATCTAAATGACATTTTGCACTTGCGTCATATAGATAGCAACTGTAGTCTATACGACTTCTGATCAGTGCTATATATATATGTCTTAAATGTTTAGGATGCAAGCCCCAGGAGACACCAGCTAATACTTTAAGTAGATTAAGACTTCTTTGCACTTTCTCCACCGTCATGTTAATATGTTTACTCCAACGCAACGATCTGTCCAACCAAACACCCAAATATTTGTAAGTATCTACTATCTCTAAATTATGACTATCTAATTTTAATTCTATTTGCAGTCTTTTAAAACCCCTGCTGAAAATGCAAATTTTAGACTTGGAAGCAGAAAGTTCTAGCCCCATTTCATGTAGAATGTTACAGAGTGTGTTTAAAACAATTTGAAATTCATTTTGACTTTCACCAAAATTTCTAGAAGAGGAATAATATGCAAAGTCATCGGCATACTGACACATTGTCACGTTTCTAATCTCCTGGAAGCATTTAATGGTAAGTATATTAAAAAGAATAGGTGAAATTGGGTCACCTTGCGCCAAACCTCGATTTGTGTATCTTATGAAGTACTTATTCCGGTCAGTTTCATCCTGCATCATAAGGCGTCTTTCGCTTAAAAAATTCCATAGATATTGACAAAACTTTTTACCAATCCCTATTTCATCTAAATTGTTCATCAGTATATCTACTAGGACATTGTTATACGCATTTTTGATATCTAGGAAACAGGCTATACTTGGGGTCTTACGGGAAAATCCCAAGTAAATTTGACTTACTAGTTTGACTAGGCAGTCTTGACATGACTGTCCTCTTCTGAAGCCGGACGTGTACTGGGATAATAATTGATTTTTTTCAACATACCACTCAAGTCTTTTTGTCAACATTGAATGAAAAATTTTACAGACACATGATATTAAAGAGATGGGCCTAAGTTTAAGATTATTATTATTCGAGACTTTTGGAAACGGCGTTACCAATATGTCACGCCATTGAAATGGAATAATTCCGGTGTTGAAGATATAATTATATAGCTCAAGCAAGTAAAGCCTACTGCCACGAGATAGATTATATATAAGTGAATATGTTATCCCGTCGTTACCAGGCGCTGTATCTTTTTGTTTTAAACAATTACACATTTCTTGTAGGGTGAAATTGGCTTCCAGTACTGTATTACTTGAATTGAAATACTCAGGCTTTGGGAAGACATAATCAGGAGCTAGCTTACAAAGGAGATCGAACTTCTGTTCGTTTGAAACGTGTGACCTTGACGAATTAAATCCCTTAACCCAACCCATGCGTTTCCACATATCGGAGTTAGACGTTCGTTCGTCAATGCTGCTACAGTAACTTTGCCAATTTCTTGCCTTCGCTTGATTAATTGCATTTTTCGTCTCTTTTGTTTTGCGCTCGAGTATAGTGAGATTAGTTGGGATGGGGTTCTTTCTAGAATTCTTCAAGGCCAACCTTCGTTGTGCTACTAAATGGGATAGTGTGGGATTCCAATAAGGCTTAGGCCGAAAGTTATTTTTGGGATTATCACAGCTTCTTACTAGCGGTATAAGTTCGTCCGCAGCGTTATTTACTTACTTAGTGAAATTATCATACAAGGATTGGACACTAATGTCATCTATAGGCTGTAATAAATAGTTTTCTAAAGACTTGCTATACGCTGGCCATTTTGCTAGTTTAAAATTATGGTTTTTAGTTACCCAAACTCGATTTATATTGCTATTATACTCGTACTTATAAGAAATCTTAATAAACATATGGTCGCTTCCCAAGCTTTCATTCATAACACTCCAGTTAAACGCAACGGATAAATCAGAGAAACAAATGTCACATCAGGCGATGTCTACTGAATAATGTTATTAACTAAAGTCATTCTAGTTACGCTACCATCATTAAGGGATATAAAGCCGCCATCTAAAGCCGCATCATATATCTGTCCTCCTCTTCCATCGGTTTTAGACGACCATGTTGTATGGTGACCATTAAAGTCCCCAGCTATAATACATTTATTCGGAAATAGTGAAAAAATTTGTTCCCAATCAGACAAACTTGTCCGCACGGAAGAGGGGCAATATATTAAAAGTATATTTTTAATTTCGTTACAGTTCAAAAGTTTGATTGAAATAATTTCTATTCCCGAATTATTAATTATGATTGGACATTGTTGTACTTTAATCGACTTACAAATTATAGTAGCAACCCCCCCATAGCCATCTACCCTATCTTTTCTAAAAATATTATAGCCACTAATTTTTATATGTGAATCTGGTTCTAGCCAAGTTTCAAATATTAACGCTATATGTATTTTTTCTTGTGCTAATAAAAGGTCCAATTCGTTATGTTTGGGCCGCAAGCTTCGTGCATTCCACTGTAACATACATAGCTTAAACAATCTTGTATTATCGTTCGCCATTTCTGAACATAGATACTATTCTTGTACATAAATCATCTCTGTTCCAAATTTTGATTATTAAATTACCAAGTATTTCAAATAATAGTTTACCTAATTGTTGGAACTTAGTAGACCAATCGTTATCGTAACAACATATATCTTTGACTCTTTGAAAAATGCTACCTAAATCTAAAATAGAATTTGAACTATTACTCTTAGACTCTGGATTTTGCTCTGTCTCCATTCGTCTTGCTTCTGACTCACCGTTGCCCTTTTCTCTAGTCTTCCTATTCCCATCCGATCTTCCAGCCTCTGTATTCTTCCTCTCCAGCGCCCGCTCCTTTTCTATATGATTATGTCCAGAACTCTTCCCTTCGATAACCTTATTTGACGTCGACGAATCACTATGAATAAGTGTTTCTGTTATCACTATATCTCTGTACGATGTTTTCTGTGTATTCTGTGTGCTCTCAAGTTGTGAATAGTTAATGTTCCTATTGCTTTCAATGTCCTCACTTCTAGTGTATATTTCTTGACTCCCCTTGCCTTTAAAATATATTTCTAGACCTTTTCGATAAGTACAGTTTTGCTTCGTCATAATGTTTCTGATTTCTTTTTCTTTTAAAAATATCGGACACTTTTTATGCATGGCCATATGTGGTCCTTTACAGTTGACACAAACAAATTTGTCGGTATCGCAATTTGGGTGATTGTTACCACATTTGGGACATATAATTTTTTTAATTGGGCATGATCTTGAGAGATGGTCGAACTTCCAACATCCGGAGCACTGGGAAACTGGGAAGGTATAAGGTTCCACTTTAAACCTACAACCGTACCCATACACATACGGCGGTAAAGTGGTACCTTTGAAACAAATTCTTACTGTTTCTGAATCGATCCATTCTCCACTATCAGACATTCTTCTGAGTCTTTTTATTGAAATGATTTCGTGCTCACATGAAAGATTTTCAAGAATTTCTTTTTCCTCGGTCTCTAAATCTATCTGCCTCAGTATTCCATAAGAAAAGGTAGTCTCATCAGCCCTTTGTGCTCGGTATCCTAAACGTGATAACTTTTCACTTTTTAGTAGTTTCACTGCACTTTCTTCCTTTTCAAAATGAATCAACACTCTGTAAGCGCTTTTGTATATCATCTTCACTATATTTTCAATGTTTAACAACCGTAAAAGCTTTGCCATTCCAAATTGTTTCGGTAATACTTCTTTTCCTGTAACACATATAATAATATATTTCTTCGCCTCAGAATCTTGATGACCCTCCTCCACTAAATTATCATTATTTGAATCCTTTCTATTCAACCGCTTATGCCCTCTAATTACTGTAACAAATCCGTCTTCTTCCACTATTTCTTCATCATCCTGTCGTACTCTCTTCCCTGTGAGTCGTTGCTCTCTCCTCCTTCTTCCTCATCTCCTCGTTTAAGGTTTGATTAAGTTGTTGCTCACTTTCAAGTCTTAGCTCCTGCTCCATTGCTTCACTGTCAGTTGAGACACCTAAATCCACAGTTCCAAGTATGTCATCCATTTAAATTTAACATAATTATTATGCGGGTAGGAAGTGAAATAACGCGATAAAATATGCGGTAACAATATGCAGCCAAACCTGTGCGTTCGCCTCGACTGCTCGCGCGCAACTGAATGAGACACATATAACATTAAATGTCACAACTGCTTTAACAAATTAAATTGTGTGTGTAAGAATATTTCGAGAACAGATTTTGTCACATATCTAGGTGTAATTTTAGATTAACATTTACAATGGGATAAGCATATAGATACTATGTCTAAAAGGGTTCGACGCCTAACTTATATCTTTAAGAATCTGCGCCATGTATGTTATAAAGAATTGCTTATCTCAGTTTACCATTCATTTTGTCAATCAATATTACAATACTGCATAATATCATGGGGTGGTGCATGTAAAACTCTTTTACTTAAGCTAGAACGTGTACAAAGAACGGTATTAAAAACTATGTCTTTTAAAAATTATAGGTATCCAACTCATAATCTCTATAAAGAAACTAACATTCTTACTGTGCGACAACTTTTTTTAAAGCAACTTATATTACGGCAACATAAACAGCCCTCTGTGAAATCTTCTGGAAGCTGTAGAGAGGATTTAGTTTTCAACATTCCTAAATACAAAACAAAATTTGCTCATTCTTTTTGTAAATTTCTTGGACCACTAGTTTACAATAAAATTAATAAACAAATAAACATTTAGAAAAGACAGTATTTATCACTTAAAAAAAACATTTAAATACCTTTATCAAAAAAAAAAACTGAACTACGAAGAAACAGAAAACCTCTTAAAGTCGTTAACCTAAGCATGAATTGAAAAACATACACTACACATCATAACACACAAATAACACACCATTTATATTTATGTATATATTTATTATACATTAATTATATTAATATTAGCGTATAAGTACAAATGAATCTCACATTCAGTTAATCTCCATACACATTTTATATAAATTAAACTATATGAAATGATCGATATACTTATTACTTTATATATCCTAGGTTTATAGTTTATAGTTCAAATATTTAGAAAAAATACCTTAACAAAAAAAAATAAAAAATATATAGGAAAAGAATTAACAAAGCATCGGTGAGTTTTGAATGTACTATGTTTCAGTAAAATCACTTATTATTTTGTATAAAAAGAACACAATCTGCCTTCAAATTTTGTATTTGTTTATCGCATAAGTCTGTTGATGTAACACTGTTTAATTCTTCATAACGGAGAATACTGCATTACTGTGATACGGTTTTTTCTATAAAATCAGTACAGAATGTAGGGTTTCTAATATCAGTTTAAGCAAATTACATTTTACGAAAAACTTAAAGTTGCGTCAAGCTATGTTAGATTTGATTTGTTTGTGATGTGTATATTATGTTTCTTCTTAATAAATAAATAAAATGAAAAAAAAAATAGATAATAGATATCTTAGCACTAGTAGAATGACCACACTCGTTGAATAACTTAAACGGAATCTCCCCGCATGGCGCCTATAGTGAACTTTATACTATACAAACAAGTGGGCGTTTCTCGATATACCCTCAATTCTACCTCAATCCAACTGGTATTTTATAGACACTCCGACATATATAATATTTAGTCATCACAGGCAAAATGTTTACAAGTTCTATGTAACTAGCTCTGCTCGCCGCCTCATTGAGAACGATATCGTTACTACAAATTGTGGCCATTTATCTCACTCTATCGCCTATATCGCAAGATATCTAAGCAGTTAGTTTATGTTAGGCTTTTCTCTCGAGCGGTTTTAACACATAACATTTTTCTTCTTCCTTTTTCTTTCGTTTCGTAAAAGTCACAGCTGTATATGTGGGCGCTAGAGGCGTTGTAATTAGGATTTGTTATTTTTTATCGTCACGCTTGGCAAGCGGATTAGCCCATCGACGTTATATTTAGCACTATAATTTATCATTATTGCTTATATGGTCACCGTCACAGCCTATCAGAATCAAAAGCTGAATATAATGCCCCTTATAGGCTGCCTTATACCACCTGCCCTCCTAGAGGATTGGCAACCACAATTTTTGTTCTTTAGTTGTTTTTAGGAGACGCTGCTGCCTATCTCCTGGTTTGTTTGCCTTTGTCGCTTCTTAAAACACCCACGGGATGATATGGAATAGTGGATATTATTACACCGTTATACGGTACAAATAATAATCTTCTATACTTATAAAAAGGCTTGTCCTAACTGACTGACTGAGTGATCTATCAACGCACAGCCTAAACCACCAAAATTAGATAATTGAAATTTTTACAGTAAATTTTTTATACCGTAGGCGAACATTAAGAAAGGGTTTTTATGAAATTCGACCCCCATGGGGTTACATGGAGGGTTAAATTTGAATGAAAATTCGTTATTTTTCAAGTAACATACATAAAACTAGATATTTAGGTTTTAAATTAAAAAAATAGAAGTATTCACAGTTTTTGAAAATTCTGCTCCCAAAAGGGTTAAATAGGGGTTGAATATTTGTGTGATAGTCCTTCATTTTCAAGTTATTTTGCAAGTTATGTTTATGAAACTTGGTATTTTGGATCTTGATTAAAAATAAAGAAGAACGTATTTTACATTTTTTCGAAGATTCTACCAATGCTGTAAAATAGGGGATGATATTTTGTATGAATTTGTATATTTATAAATTGTAAAATGACGGACTTTCTTTAGATTTAAAAAAGGAAAAGGAATTTAGATTTAAAAATGGAAGTACGTATTTTGTGGACAAATGCGAGTCCCTAAAAACGTAGGTGTGGGTTTCACAGTTTTCCAAAGTGCGGTAAATTATATATCCGTGAAAATTGGTAAGTAATTTATTTTAAGGTTAGAGTACAAGACGACTCCAAATTAGTTTTGGATGCAAATATACCTACCTATATAATACTACTAATACTACATCATCATTATCATCATCAACAACAACATCATCATCATCAGCAGCAGCAGCAGCAGCAGCAGAAAGCTATCATCGGCTCAATACTGAGTGCAGGTCTCCTCTCAGATAAATGTTATAAAACATAGTCCACCATACTGGACCAATGCAAATTGGGAAAAAACACACACCTCTGAGAAAACTATGGAGAACTCTCAGGCGTTCAGGTTTCCACGATGTTTACTTCACCGTTGAAGCATGTGATATTAATTGCTTAAACGCACATAATTATAATTCCGAAAAGTCAGAGGTATATGCCTTAAAACGAACTCGCGACTCCCCAGGCTTTGTAAGCTTCACATTAATGTATAATTACTACACACACGAAACACATTTCCCTCTTGCAATCAGGTAAAAACAGTTCGCATAATATTGTTTACATTGATTACATTTTTTATGCAGACGATCCTGTTACTTGGTTTCAAAGCTTTTAGTTTTTCAAGCCCTGAAAGATCTTTAAAATATTATGTTATTACTTACTTATTCCAAGCCATAGCATACATATTATATGATAATCAAATTATTGCTCGGGATATACGTGAGGAAATAGTAGACTACGTGATGGAGCATTGGGACGAGTTTTCCATCAAGCCCATGACAGAGATGGGAATAATTTTAACACTTCTGCTGACTACTATGCCGAAATGTCTCAACCTTATACATATGGTGGTTTGTGCGAATTAGTGACTGCTGGGCAGATTTTGTCTTGTGTCCTTGAGGTTTATTATAATTGTATTTTATATGAGAAATTTGATGGAGAAGATAATCCCGTACATAGATTACGCTTTAGTATTTCGCATGATCTCTTTAAGGCCTTAACAGTGGTTGAAATGCCTAAATCTTGGATATTTAAGTAAAAAAATCTCAATAACTGTTCATATAATCCACAAAGAAAAAATACAGGGTAACAGAAGAACATTTGGTAAATGTTTTTAATTTAACATAATTGTGTTTTTGTCAACCCCTTATTAGAAAAAAAATCCCCAAAGAGTACCTATCTTTGTCACGTTTTTCAAAATTTCTCCAAAACCGCACAAGCTTTTTAAATAGTTCTTACACTAAAAAACAGGTCTTAAAAATATTAATATTTTTAATTGAGAGTTTTATTTTTTTCCCCGTTTTATAAGAGAATATATCATTTTTCCCTGAAATTGAATATATTTACGCGAGCGCGCATGCTCCGTCGCCCTGTCAGTCCGTTTTCGGACATCGTCGAGGGTGGACCGCGCATCGGTGTTGGGGCGAATTCGTTCAAATATATATTAGTTTTTTAAAAGTTTATACTCAATTATAAATATTTTTATGGCTAGAAATACTTAATTTAGTTAATATCTGTACACTGGTAAATGTAAATATTATTTTCTAAATAAATAAATTTTTAAAGTGCCAAAAGAAGAAGAAATTTTTGCGGCGATGTTGATTAGTGAAATTGAAAAATGCATTTTTATACAATTTAGATGTGGAACGACGAACATCCTCCCGTTACTTAGATTTCGATAGTTTTTAATACCTATGTAATTTTATTGTTGCATATATTTATTAATTAGTTGATACTGAATTTCATAATTATGTATTATAATAAAACGCTGTTTCTATGAGTATGATTTTATAAAATATTATTGGGGAGGGATATATAGATACAGATACTTACATTTAGGTACACTGTTATCAAATTTAATCAAACAGTTAAAATAAAAAAATGGTGCTTCCCTAAGTATAAAACTATATAAAGACATTCTTGGGTTTATGGTTTTTTATGTTAGACAAACTAAATACTATCATCTAAAAAATTTAAAAATTTTAAATTGGAGAGGGGTTTCTCTACGTGATAAAGTTAGAAATGAAAATATTCGCAGTAGAACCAGAGTAACTGACATATACGCAACGGAATATTACAGTGAAATGGCAATGGGCTAACTATATAACTTGGAAAATCGATAAAAAATAGGAAGAAAGGTTCTCGAGTGGCAACCTCGTACAGGTAAGCGAAGTAGCACACACACACACACACACACACACACACACACACACACACACGCACACACACAC